AAGAGCAAGAGCAAGAGCAACAGCAACAGCAACAGCAACAGCAACAAGAACACAGCAACAACAGCACAGCAACAACAACGGCGCGACATGGATTGAACCAAATTCCTACACGTCCACCTGCGCATTGATTTGCGGAGTGTAAGGGTGCAACTTGGTCAAGGTGTATATCGACATCGCCTTGACCTCTAAAAACTTTTGCGCAGCACTGCCCTGGACCTGGCAAGTGATCCCCGCTGGTCAATGGGACGTTCGGCTGCGTAAGTCTGCGACAGCTCACAGGCAAAGTATTGCCAAGATCATGATTGACCACGGTGCAGCCATGGCTATCCTCAACGGCCGCGGACCTTAGATTTTTTTTCAAGAGCCTGTCAACGTCGCAGCACACCAGGGCCGAAGGCCCATGGCTCGGTGAGCTCAGGTGCCACGTGCATCTTCCAGGTTGTGGGCATGGATGCGAGCTGAGTCCAAAACACCAGAGAAGCCCAGAAAAAACAAGATTTCATCCAAGGCCGCCATCACCGCATCATGCGGGCTCCTTTCTGCGTGGCTGCCGGAGTCTAAAGATCTCATGCTCTGGAGAGAAGTGCAGCGCCTTTCTTTGTTCAGGCTTTCGTCTGAGAAGTACGAAAGCGTCACAAGCACCTCGTATGCGAGATGCTCAGTTCGACGCTGACAGCACCGGCAGCTGGCATTCAGCACGTCTGCTGAGATTCCAAATCCGGGTTATGCCGTTGCGCTTTCGGCTATTCTGGCCTTCCTCGTGGTGCTGCGCCCATGCAAGCTGCGTATGCTGTTGTGAAACCCGACAAGCTTCAGCAAGCTTCCTTTGAGGCTTGGTCCTTCATGGCCATTTTCGACGTGACTTCTGACACACTGCAGCTCTTCAAAAGGAGCTTTCGGAGTGAGCATTGCCGGGATTGAGTGTGCTTTTGTTGGGGTCGGGTGAAACGTTCGGAAAGTGGTGAGAGTCAGAACACACGTCGGCCAAAGGGGAGGGCCGATGTCACCGGGTCGCAACAGTGTTCGGGCCCCAAGGGTGAGTAACCGAAAGAGAACCCGAAGACCTCATCTCAGAGTGAAAGCGACGGGATGTGAGACATTCTGCTCTGATGATGGCATCTCGGTCTTGTTGCTACGGAGCTACTGTTCAGCCTATTGCCAAGTTTTTGCACCTGTGCTGCGATGACCTGTCTCAGAGTCTCGTAGTGTGCTCGCGATTTTTCGCATAGCTCGCCCATTTCTTTCGTGTTGCCGAATCCGCTGAGGCTGATATGTTTCGCCGAAGACATGACGCAAAGCGGCGGTGCAAGGCATGGCAAGCACAACCAGGAGACACCGTGGGCCACCAAATCGGCTGATGAGATGATCTAGCACTTCCTCAGAGGATTTGAAGGCCATCTACGAGGAGGCAGAGGAACGTGCCAGAGAAATGTCAACTCCCCGGTTTGGCTACAGAAGCGAATGGCAATCTCACATGGAATTCCGAAACACCCGAGGCAAGGCGACCCAGCCTCCTCCGACGATGGGCATCCCCATCCACCGTGCCCTGTAGGCCTCAGCGTCCCGACCATGAGAAGCCTCAATGCATGCCCCATGCTGCGAGTATTGGGAGTTCTCATGCAAGTCTTGTGTGGGTATGCCTGCAGTCTGTGATTGTGGTCAGGTACCGCTACGCGCGTGGGAAATGATGGCATTCTGCTTAGGGCCAAACTCGTGGAACTGAAATGGCTTATGATACGGAGGTGATGGTTCAGTTCGGTTACAGATTTTTTCCTATATCGGCGCCTGCTGCAGCATCAGTCTGCCCCGGCGATTGCCAATGTCAAGACAACTGCAAAGGTCAGATGTCACCTTGTAGGGCCTCTCACAGCCGCCACGTGCTGGGCACCCGAGAAGACAGAGTCAGCTTGTTTGGTTCTTTCAGAGAGACGGTGCTCCTGAATCAACTCGTGTCGCTAATTACCATGCATCTCGAAGCATAGACAGGCCCCAGCAGCCATTCAAGAACACGATTCTTCGGTGGCTACAGAGTGCCTTCCTACCTTATCAGACTTATTATGGATCGCAGCTTCTGGAGCCCAGTTGAAGGAGCGTTTCTTTATGTTGTTATTGTTATAAGTTATTGTTATATATATTTATACATACATGAGGGTCAAATATATTCACGCAGACAGGGCGGCCTGGGGGGGTGCTCTCAGAGAAGCAAAGCACGCTGGCGAGCGATGCTGGCGATGTACCTGAGAGCTTTGACCGGCGAGGTGCGACCGTCTCAGAGTGTTGGCTCAGTTGCATTGTACGTCTATTAACATCGTATAACATAATGGTATAGTATAATCAACTCATATTTTACTACACTAGCATAATGCTATACTATATTATGTTATGTTATGTTATGTGTTTTTGCGCATGCCAGGCGGCTTTGTTTTGGCTTGGACTAGCGGCGCACATTGGCCCATCAAATGCTGCTGCTGTGCAATAAGTTTGCGCATGCAAGGCAATTATTCTGACCGTCGTTTCAGTTCGCAGTGCTAACCTACGCTCCGAAGACTGGTTGGACAGGAACACGTTTACCGTACCTGAGCCTGTGACGCCAACTGCTTTACGAGCATTATAAAGCGCAGCAGCATACAGACACATGAACCTAATATCGGATTATGCTGCCAGGACTGGCTACGGCATGGTTGGGGCTAGCTGGGGGTGGGCGCGGCCTGTACTTATAGTCTTACCAGCTGAGGGTGTGCTTTTCTGCTGTTTTGGAGAAGCCCGAGTGTGGCACTTGGCGTCTTTGGTTCATGCGAGTTGCCAGGAACCGCTTCGTGTTTCCTGCGCCCGATCCGTCTTATGGGCCGCAGTCCTATCGAAGGCCCCGATGTCCGGCTTTGGACTTGCTTCGGCAGTGCTCGCAAACCTCGTGCTCGCCAGGCACCTGTGCTGGATCCCATGGAACCCTGTCCTTTCTCCCGACAAGGCCTTGTTGACAGGGGCCAGTCAGGGAAGCCACAACTGCTTGGAGCCGAGGCAAGGGACACCAGCTTGCAGGACCGCAGTGGCAGTACCTTGCGGCAACTTGCAGTACCTTGCAATACCTTGCAGCGCTGGCGCAGTTGCTAGCAGGATGGTATCCCGTGCTTGCCGGCCACTCAGCTGCTTCGTGACAGCAACATAGCCGGCTGGCAATTCAGGTGGTTTCCCGCGCCGAAAGCCGCCACCGTCATTCTCTTCTTTCACGCCAATGCGGAGGCGATCCGGCGTCGTAGACAACTCTTCGACTCCCTTCCGCAATGCGCTTTGTTGAGAATGCAGGACTTGGGAATGTCGTTCGCCATCCTGAAACACATGCGAGATCAATTCAAGGCTGCTTCGACATGAAGCTGTGTTGGAGTTGCGCGAGAGCCACGCGCTGCCGGAGGTGAACGTACTTGCAGCAGAGTATCCAGGCAAGCCTAGACCTGCCGTCTGAGAGTTCAGGCGTCTCGTTTGGCATTCGAACAGCTTGTGGCGTTTCTTTCGCTCGTTCGCTGCATACGAAGCCCCTGCAGCCTCCAGCGGTTTCACTTTCGCGGACATGCTTGGGCCAGGGCAAGCAAGCGAAACTATGCGAGGCTTGGCCATAAGGAACCCACACTGAGAGGCACTCTGAAGACTCAAAGAGAATCCTACTAACCAAATATATAATTACACAGCCAATCACAGCCATGCACGACAAACCCGAGACACAAGACCGTCGTAGTCACACTGCTTTGGAGCTGCAGATCACGACAGGATATGGGCTCCTGCATCACGTTGAACCGTCCGAGGTGCCTTTGGCGAGGTCTCATGGCATCCATGAGCATGTCTGCTTGCACTTAGGATGGTGTCTGCGAAGTGGCACTGACCACCTTTCGTTTTCTCGTCTTGTGCTTAGCCGGAACGAATCATGTCTTCCAGCAAGGTTGCCTTTTTGATGGCGTTCCAAATACCTGGCTGTAGTCCTGGCTGTTTCGAATCCGGGGAGTGCAGCAGCAGGGTGGGTGGCGACCTGGCATGAGGGTGCCAAGAACAGGCAAAGGATCAGATGTACTGGCACCAGATCCAAAACGAACACTACGCAATCCTCCAGCGCATCAGCTTGACGTGAGAAGTCCTGCAGGGTTCGTAGGTGACGGAGAGACTAGTTTGCTCCACACAACAAGCAACAATCAGTAAGACGTGCAGAGGCTGCTTCGAACTATTCTTGGTGCGTTGGGGCTTGCTACTCATTTCTTTGGTCCAGGGTCTCATACTGGCCACTCCCTTCGGGGTCTTTGGTGCAATCGCTTTTTCGTTTGTTTGGATTTCTTGTGCATGCTAATTTTCGCGAGCCAGGTGCAGATTCTGCTGTGTTTTTTGAAGATTGAGGGTTTCATCTGTCCGTCTGCACCCTGATATTTTCGAAGCACCTCCAGATGTTGAGTAGGTGTCGGTAGGTCCCAACTCGGGGCTCTCAGCTCCAAGCCCTGCAGAAGATCCTTCGTCACTTTCGTAGAACCCAAGGTTGGAAGGCGTCTCATTTGCAATTGATCCTCCGTACTGAAACCATCCGAGGCGCCCGTCAACCCGAAAGGAACGTGAAGATTCAGACAAGGTTCAGGTGTAAGCCCTGAACGGAGGCAAGGTCTGAAAAGCCTTGCAGCAGTCAAAGCCAATCCCCACAGAGGCCTCGTGAATCGCCAGCAACGCAGCACGGAAAAAAGCCACCTCTCCAAGATGCCAGTTTTAGATGAAGTGTACTCACGTACGGGTAGCTTCTGCTGTCGAAGCTCCTGCATGATCCGACCATGTTGTTGCCGCAACAGCCCGGCAGTTTGCAGTTCAGTTCAGGTCGACATCCTTGGTGTCCGATATTCGCAGCACCGGGCCTGGCCGGAGCATGGAGCATCCCCTGCGCCGTGCCGGCACTGCGACCAAGGATCGTCTTGTTCGGCAGGTCTCTCGGCAGCGGTGCCAAGCTGAGTTCTGTGTGCCGCTGCGAAAGAACGGAAGAGCTCTCACAGGAACCTTCCAGCTTTGATCACCACCACCACCACCACCACCACTACCACCACCACCAGCACCAGCACCAGCACCAGCACCAGCACCAGCACCAGCACCAGCACCAGCACCAGCACCAGCACCAGCACCAGCACCAGCACCAGCACCACAACCACCACCAGCTTCAGGACCAGCGGTCTTCCTCGCATCTCAGTTTCCGGTTGGAGGCCCTGAGACCGTCCGCTTCTCATCGTGTACGGTGCATGATCTCGCAAGAAGAAGGCCTAATCCTGGTGTCCGCCTTCTCATCCATCCGAGCCGCAGCAGCTTGGACTTCGGTGTAATGTGGCGAATGCGGCGGGCATGTCGAGCAAGTCAGGCTCAACGTCCAGGGATGTCGTGCCACACCCTGACTCCTCCAGGTACAAAGCATTGCTGGCCGGCTCTTCGCCATGGCGTTCCAAGAGCCAGCTCCTTTGCTTTCCAACTAAAATGGGGAGTGCCTGCAGATCTCGCGCCGAGACGCTTTCCCAACCACAAAACCATCTCCAACGTGCCGGTATCCCAGTTGTCCAGGAGGGTGTGGAGGAGCTACTGCTTAAAACTCTTAAGGTCCTGCTCGACGCTGTTCATCCATGGGGAGTCCGACGGTGCCTTCCTCTGCAACACCCACTCTTGTCGCACGAACAGCGTGTAACCCCGATTTGCCTGCGCCTCTTCGCCCGCAACTTCGTCTCGCCGTCGCAGACAATCCTCTCTGTTATGACAAGCTGCTGAATTTGCACTGGGTGGCTCTGTTGCCTCTGTCCTCTGTTTGATGTGACAGCGTGCAGTTTCAATGACAAACGCCTAGCTTCTGCCAGCCTATAGCAAGCCATTGTACTGTAAATCCTGTGAAAGTAAGAGTTCTACCGTCACGGATCTCGTGCTTTGCAGTCTG